CTCCTCCTCCTCCTCCTCCCAGTCCATGAGTCAAAGAGGGCAACAAGACACGAGAGGAGTACAGCTGTGGTGATGTGGTGTTTCAGGGCTCATCCTTCATTTCGCAGGTCACTCCTTTAACTTGACGCCGTCGAGCCTCCTGACGCTGTTCAGTTTTGGGGATGTAAACGGAGACACTTTAACGGAGCCCAACTGATGTGACTCAACCAGAGGAGTGTGTTCATTCAGTCCCCCAGGAACAATGAGCCGCTAGGAGCCCAAACGTGCCGCGAAAGGTAAGATAAAGACTCCCAGCTGACTCTCACCCAGTGTCAGACTCACCGGTGACAAGGAAACAACAAAAGGCTTCGTCCGAACAGGTGGTGTCCTGCCGCACGAGCAGCCGACGAGAGGGGAAAGTACAAGTCTGAATTACAATGTCACATTCCTGTTGAGGATCATTGGTATCAAAATCCACGCGAGACAAATGCGAGTGAGGAAGTGGGCTGATTGAAAGATTGAATTACAAACATCACACGCTGTTTGCGAGGCAGTAATCTATCTGAGTGAGGGTCGTCTTTTACATTACATCATGTGTGCAGGACTAAGAATGGTAATTACACAGAGCTGAAAATGAGCAAGATTAGACACTGAGTTAGCAAAAACACAGCAGTAACAAAACAACCAGAAACAAATAACCCAGATAGTGTACTTGTATTGATTACAGGCAGTTTGTGACATAAGAATATTGAGTGTCCTGCAGTCCCAAAGCTTGACACACAAACAGTACAAGAGGGACATGCAAACTTATGCAGCCACATTTCTGCAACGTGTTGAGCGTAATTTTAGCAAATCTTCACACCTCCACTTTTGTTTTATCAGTGCAGCTTTATGTCTTCCTTTCTTTATAGCTGCTGCAGATAATCAGATCATTTCATATGGGATATTAAAATGTGCACGTGATTGGCTGATATTCAACTTTAAAATGAGGCTGAGGAGAAGCCAGATGTTGACACCTGCCATTACAGTAATGGTGGACATTACCAACCATAACAGACAAGGATTAGGACATTTACAACTACCAACCTTTACCCGTTCAGTTCCAACCAATACCGTGATTGGTCCAGAGAAAGTGCTTTAAATATGTACGTTTATTCATATATCATGTGTGTTATACGTGCACCCGTCAACAGCATTCTTGTTTCTCATGTAGCCCATGTTAAAGGTCCAATGTGTAGCATTTGGGAGGATCTATGGGCAGAAGTGGAATATAATATTCATAGGTCTGTTTTCATTAGTGTATAATCACCTGAAAATAAGAAATGTTACCTTAGAATGAGCTGTTTTTATCTACAGACGCCATCATTCTCCTTGTAGGCCGCCATGTTGAACTGCCATGTTTCTTCAGTAGGCCAGAACGGACACACCAAATCTCTAGATACTCTAGATAGGGATGTTCGCATTTGTCTCGCGTTTTGCTCCCGCTGTAGTTTCTCCCTTGTTCTGAGAAAGGCAGGGTGAAGCGAAGGAGTTGCAATCTGCATCTACACAGCTACATGACACTAAATCCTAAACAGCGGTCCTCTAATAACAAAGCACAGAAAGTGAGCCGTCAGTCGATCTTCGCATTCTTTCATATATATATATAAATGTTTCCCACCAGAGAAGTCACAGTAGAAATAAAGGAGAGTGGATTACATGCAGTCACAGGTCAGGAAGTGGCTGTGCAAGCCAATAATCACATTCAGTGCTCAGAGAAAGTGCTGTAGCCTACATGTGACAGTTGCTGCTACACCACGAAGCCTCACAACAGATCTCTGTGTTTCACTGGGCATATGTGACATTTTGTTTGTCACACGTTTGGCTCTGTCATTTTGTGACCGTGTTAGCCCGTCTTCACACTATTCTATTTTTCGCTCACACACAACACATTGACCAGAGTCCGTCTTCCCTTAGACAACACCGTATTATTGACAATGGCAAGAGTATTTCGAAATTACAATCACTTCTAGAACGTTTAAGTCCTTGGCACCAGTTTGAATTTAATTATCAATTTTACTGCTCTTATTCGACCACCTTCATTCACTTAAACTGCACGCCTTTTTTTTCCGAAACAAACTCTAAACCCTGTGCCATATGGCGCCCTGTGATCCAGCTACAGTCATAGCTGGAGGTAGCTTAACATAAACAGGAAGCGAGCCTCTAGGGTTACATTTGTGATGGAAAATTCAACTACTTACTCATGTGACAAGCTGGTCGCTCAGCAAAGAAAAGTGCTCACAGTTTGCCTCAGGAACATCAAACAGCATGTGGGATTCTGGTTTGTGAACTTTTAATACCTTGCACCTTATTAGTAAATTTGTGGCATCCTATTGGCACTGATTGTGCTGATATGGCTGATAATCTTAGGTATTTACTGCAGCTTTGTGTTACTGGAAAATCGAGTGCAGAGAGGCAATCATGGAAATCACAGTAGTATGACAGACAGTATGACACCAGTGCTGGGAGCTTGCTGTTCTAATGACTGCATACACTATTTAAGAAAATATGCCAGCTTGACTGCCATAGCAGTTTGTTATGTATCCTCACAGGGCCAACAACATAATACACGCTTTCTACGTCTAATGCAAGTGAGTCTGAACTTGCTTAGCTTTTCAATAGACCAGAAAATTACAACTGATTTGGAAGTTGCTTTAATCAGCTGCAGTATAGGTTTTAGATGTTTTACCTCTGGAAGCAAATACCCATTGAGAAACACAACAGACTCCATTTTACTGCGCCGTGAAAGCCAATTAGTGCTGGAGTTTTTGATTTCCTATTTATTGTTATGACGCCTGCCGTGGATAAAGTGCCTCAGAGCATAATACTATTGATTTTATTTGATGGGTATTTAATTAGTGATGCTTATTATAATGCTGTTGGATATATTAAAAGTCATGCTTCACTAGTGTTTGTAGCCTTATACCAGTTCTGCTCAGAAGAGGCTCTGACATAATATCCTAATCACACCTGATTCATTTTTGACTAAGTGATGCCCACTTTCCCATTGTAAAATAATGGGCTAGTGTTTTCAAATGTCTTGATACTGCTGCCAGAAATTTTTTTTTCTAGAAGAAATGAATAGTAAAACAATACTTCTCTTGATACCTTACTTTACAGGATATAACATAATATTTACAGGAGTAAAATAAAGACTGACTTAACATTTGTTGCTTTCTGTACTTGAGTTTTTCATACTTGGTGCCAGTGGTGGAAAGTAACTAAGTACATTCACTCATGTAATGTACTTAAGTCTAAATTTGAGGTACTTCCATTTAACATCTACTCCATTACATTTATTTGTTGTCTATAGTTACTAGTTACTTTACAAAGAAAGATTTTACATACAAAAATATGAAGAACATGCTTTGTAAAAAATGTAGCTATCAAAAAATAAATCAATTATCAAAAAAATAATCAGCAACTGTTTTGATTACTGTTGATTAAACAAGCCACACTTTTCATGGTATCATCGGTTTAACTGTGACTATAATATAGAATCAATTAATTGATGAAGAAAATAACCAGCAGATTGATCCTAAATGAAAATAATCTTTAGTTGCCCCGTATTAAAAAGCTAAAAATGACCTCCACCTCAACCAGCTCCAAGAGAAAATGCAGCTTAACATTAATGCTTGAGTGTGAACATAATAGTAAATGTATAGTATATCATTAGGTATACTATATGTACACTCACACATTTGTGATTTTGATACTTTAAGTACAGTTCTTTTACTTAAATTAACATTTTCAATGCAGGACTTTTAGTTGTAACGGAGTATTTTTACGATTACTACTGTAGTAGTAGAAGTAGTAGTATTATTCTGAATACTTCCTCCACTACTGCTGGGTGCTAGGGAGCCTATTCCATATTGAGTTTCAATAGTGACCCAGCACATTGATTGGGGGACATTCAGTCGTTTGCTGGTTCGATGTACAATCTCCAGCAGGAAGATACTGATTCAGTAGAGAAATTGTCTTAGCTTACCTCTTTCGACAGAAATGTCAGAGGTCAAGGTCATAACCTGATTATTATCTGATGGCTGGAGCTGATAGTGTTTCACTGGCTCGGTTTTGAGACTTCAGCAGATCTGACACTAGGGGCTTGAATGTAGGTCCTCTGGTTGGAGAGCAGGCTGCCAGCTCCCTCTGCCTCCCTGCTGTGCATTAGTGAAATGCTGGGATTAAACGGAAGGGGCATTTGCTCACAACATGTTGTTGTTGTTTCAGTTCTTGAGTATGTGTGCTTGTGCATATTTGCTGTCTGGGTTTATATTCTGTAAGTGGATACTTTACAATGACAGCAACTAAGGAGAGTTACCCACTGCAGGAAGATCATTATACAGAATATGAAATGTAAGTTGTCGTCTCTCATAGAGATTGTGTCATCCTACTCAAATAAACTGTGCTTGCAACACAATGTTCATTCATTCATGCTTGGAAATATACCAGCTGCAAACTGAACTTTGGCCTTGTGTTACTCCAAATAGGTTTGAGCAAAATGGTGATGCAGACTGTGCTACAGCTCTGGGAAAATGGATTTGAGCAGCTTTTATTTTCCATCATGCAACAGATGAATGTTTGGAAGAGCAGACAGGCCATTAATAGTCTGACTGTTGTTAAAGATAAAGCGGAGGTATTCTTTCAATGAGGGTTGTTTGGCCTGCATTAAATGAACCACCTACACTGCAGTTCAACATCCCAAATCGGAAAAAAACTATTAGTATGTATTAGTAATTTCATTTGATTCAATTTGATCTCAACTGTAGAGATAACTACACAAACCAGGCAAATGACGAGGTTGAAGTTGTTAATTAAAGGTCCAATGTGTGGGATTGAATGGCATCTAGCAGTGAAATTGTAGATTGCAACTAACTGAAACCCTGACTCAACCAAGCGTGTAGGTCAAACTATGGTGATTGGAGTGAAAAAAAAAAGTGAAAGGCTCTGTCTAGAGCCAGTGTGTGGTTTGTCCATTCTGGGCTACTGTAGAGGTCCCCTCTGTAGGTAAAAACAGTTTATTTTAAGGTGACAAACTTTATCTCAGCAGATGAGAAATTTGTCAAAATCACGCCAGTCAGTGAGGTCGTTAATGATGAGATGATGTCATTACTGTAAAGCTGCTGCCTCAAGAGGATCTTGGGAAATAGGGGAATTTAATGTTCCATTATCCTATTATTACCACACTGGGATACTTTTGGAGTTACGTGGACTTGTTTTAACAAGTGAGCATGGTTTGGAGGAGTATTTCACAATC